ATCTCAGTATAAAACAAAAGGAAAGTGTGTAGTGAATATGCTTTTTATGTAAGTGTACTCAAATGAGTAAAGTTGTAACTTTCAACCCAAAATATACATCAGAAAGGACATTTTTGAGAAAACAAAATATTTTCATTTGAAATATAACCTAAAACAACCCCCTGACTTTATCTTCCGTTTTATATAAACAATCTGTTATTGACGATTTTTTTTCTATCATTTTTCATTCTTTTAAATATGCCTGTTCAATTTGGGAATTTAAGCTCGTTTTAAAAATAGCAAAATACATTTGTGATTTACCCTACCCGTTTTGGTACCCCAAAACCCCTCTTTCGGTAAAAACGTTTACCTTAGTTGTGGCACATGTAATACAATAGGTCATCTCTGAACAAAAAAAGGAGGTGCAAATCCGAATATACCGCGGCCCAAAAAAGGGCCTTATAGACACTCATCTTTTACTGCAAAACTTCCGTTATGAATAGCGAGTATGTTTATACCATGCGCCATTCAATCAACATATCAGAATAGGTAGTTATATTTCGGAGTGAGAAGAAAGTCTTCGGCAAGTAGTTCAGTCTCTTTTTACCGATGTTTTGCCCTCTCTCGTAATACTTTGGAACATTAAGATAACCTACTGGCCTCGGTTAAATTGTATTAAAAATCTCAGTAATATTTTAATAGTGAACGTGACTTTACCTGGATACAACAAGATAGTATTCAACCTGTATCAATATGTACATAACAGTATATTAAGAGCACTGTATTGATCAAATTAAAGCAAAAACTGGAGATCTGGTATGGATGTCTCTTAAAAAGCTGTATGGTATAGAATAATGAGGAAGAACTATGTTCTTTGAAAGTATATTTACGACCTGAATATTTTATAAAATTTATCATACGAGTCCATATATTGTCAATTGAAGATGGGGGCCGCGGTGGCCATGTGATTTAGGCGACTGACATTCTGCTACGACTAGCCTTCCATCACTGGGTCGCGGATTCAAGGCCTGTGTGGGGCAGTCGCCAGGTACTGGTCGTAGGTCGGTGGTTTTTCTCCGGGAACTCCGGCTCTCCTCCACCACAAAAACCTGGCACGTCCTTCAATGACCATAGCTGTTAATAGGGCGTACAAAACAAACAAACAGTAAAAAGTATAAAGAAGCCCCGGGAAGAAGGAAAAATATTGATAGAAGCGAACAGAAATGGGAATTTCGTAGCATGGATAAAACTGGCGATTAATTCTATTTTATTTCAGTGAGCAGAATTTTTCGTGACCAGAACTTCGTAACAACGGTAAATTAATGTTTTGAATATTTCCTTCCGGGATGAATAACTAAAACATATAGATATGCAAAATGTATAAAAAAAAAATCTCTGTAAATAGTTAAATGCACCCATGATAAAGTTAATTCTTCCATGTGATAAGCTGTTAAAATCTATTTAGGATTATATTGAGCCTTTCAGCTGTTGTGGACACTGTGATTTTTCAGGTAACGTGAATCTGAATGTGCAACCTCTCTCGGAACCCTTCTCTATGTTGGGCCTTCCATCAGAAGGTGTCTCGGTTGTGTACCCTTTGTTGGTTTGTTATGTGATAGTAGTTGTCTTTAGGAAGCAGGTATATAGTGCGCCTCAAACATTTGGGACCATTTCTGAATCCAGCAGAGTTTCTTAAAGCACGGTCGAGTATGTTATTTAATTTTGAGATTATCAATCATATTTCTGTGATAAAACGGCATTTATTCAGATGTCGAGCATCAACATTTTCTGTAATGTCAGGATTCAAAAGACACGATTTCGGCCTATTTACATTAACTTGGCGTCTGTTTGTTAAAATATGATACAAGATTCCTGATGTTAAAATAGAACATGGGATTCTGACTCTAATAAACAGCTTCAAATAGAATACCGATAGACAATCGTCACGTCGTGTTAGATAGTACGGCTGAGGGCCTACGTCTGCTTCAGATCCTCACCACTATACTAGAATAGTGATCACCTTTTTGCCTAAAAGCATCATATTAGATAACACATACAAAACTCCAACATCTTTTGATACATTATCTCCATTGTTCACGGTGCTGAGAATGCAATCGAGTATTATTTTACGACATAACCTGAATTGTCGTGAGCCTGTAATTTCTTGCGGAGTCACATCGAATTATACTTGAAATGTCGGGAAAAAAATAAAAACAGTAATTCACTCTTCGAGGAATTAGATCGATTTCTACTTCCTTTTTTTTTTGCAGATTTATTAGTTTCAAATTCTCCAACCTCAGCTTACTTAATTTAATTAACTTTTGCATATATTTATTTTAAGTCAGTGCTTCAAACAGGGGTCTTGAATTGACAAAAATGATACAGAGGAAGATGGAGGTATTATTTAAATCATAATTTAACAGATATACATGTTGTAAAGCATATTAGTCCCTTTACACGCTGAAGAGCTTCAATAAAATTAAATATAAATTCTCACTATGCTAAAATGTTTATAACTTATTTGTCTAAACCCACCATATTATATTACATATTCAATATTGTTGGCTATCTTTTGATACATTATTTACGTCCTTTTTGTAGGCGTGGATACACTGATGACAATTTCTAATGACAGTTTTTGACAAACTCCCAGAAATAAGAAAACTATTTTTGTATATTGTCATTAGGCTTGAGGCGAATGCCAATCAAAGGCTGTCTAACCAAACTGCTTTGTTATTTGCATAAGAACAATGAACAATGAAGGTCGATGTTTTTAATAAGCTTTTTAACTTGATTTTCGTTGTCACTACCCTGGTTCTTGATATGAGGACGTGACATTACTTGTATTTGACCTATATTTACATGACGGGTGTGGTCGATAAAGCAAAGGAAGCTTATCCTTCCGGAACACCTGGTCTTATTCTCATCAATCGTACCTTTTCAAGGGTGTCTTTGTAAATATTTCCTTTGTTTACATGATGTACATCGTGATCTCATTTTATCGATTATGAATTTAATTATGGTTTTGTTGACACTTATGTATTTCGTTGTGTTTATTAATATTATGGATCCTAGCTTGGTTCAGTTTGAGTTTTGGACTGAGCAGAAGGCTGTCTTCAAATCTTTGAAATAACGAAAGAGCAATGAGCTTTAAATTGAATTTCAAAAGGAAATGTAAAAAGGGGTTTGGTTATAATGTATACATTCCACAATTTATTGTATGAGACATTCTAAGAGTAAAACAATCGTTAGTTGAAATGGTTTTAGTCTGAACTGATTTCAGTTTTAACGCCTTTATGAATGGGAATGCGTCCATATACATGTACTATATTTACACCTTATTTCACTTCTAGAATAGAAAACAAAACTAACTTCATCGATGTTATAACTGTGACATTCCTTACAGGTTTGACATTTAAGGAAATAAAGGTATACAGCTTGACGCTGGAGCTCAACAGTGTCTTTCCTTTCTATATCCGGGTCTTTCCTTTCAATATCCGGGAACTTTATAGGGTTGGGACGTCAACAGTATGTCAGAGTATACCTACTGGTGGACCGCCATCATCAGAACGGGAGTTCCAGGGACGCGCGTAGGATACTGTTTTCGTTTTTCCTCGATCGTGTTAACTACTTGTACATATATAGGTGTCTCTTTCACTGCCTTTTCTACGTTTAATTTCCAGAATACATGTCGATTGGTATCAATGCACGTACCTTGTACATTTCCAAACATGAATTATTTCTCCTCCAGCACAGACACAAATGGTTTGAATTAGACGGTAATTTTGTATTACCAAAGCCTTCTATATATATCACACGATGTTCCAGCATCTGTTACACTAGGTACAGTGTACATATACGTCTGAACTATCTGTACTGGCGAGTGATTTTCTCAGATAAATGAAACGATGTGTTCGGTATATGTCACCTTCAATTTATACGACCATCTCCATTTAAAGAATCCTCACACGTCATTGCTCACAACACGGGACTGGGATACAGGACAGAACGAGACATCATACATGTGTATCACAGCTTCGTAATAACAGACCGTTCTCCTGTCTCAGCCATATAACACTCTAATGTGACACTTTTCGAATCATCTCGTTAGTTTTAAAAATGTCTATCGTGATTTCCTCTCAGTTTTTTATAACTAACGATGAAGAATTAAAATCAAAGTGAAAAATTGACAACTGATATACATGTACATTAACAAGGCGAGAGTTTTTAGCCTCGCGCAATAGTATTTCTAGAGTTGGTCCAGACACCAAGGGGGAGGTACAGGCATGGAATCAATCTTTTAATATGGTGTTCCATTTTTGTAAACTTAATCATATATTAATTGTGGCAACGTTTAAAGTTCAAGTGATAATTAAACGGAAAATACACGTTTCTTATGAAATTTGGAAGCGTCTTTCTTCGTCCGGTTCATGTTTGCATCCTAAGCTAAATGTTTTGAAACATTCGTCAGCAAACGTTTACCAATCTTTACCTCTAAATGATTTGTATCATTTATCCATTCATGATTTTCTGGGTATTTTTTAATCTCACTAAAGTTGAGACAGTAGGTTTACCATGTAACGGAAGAAACGGAAGATAAAAATGACCTAAATTTGCCATGAAGACGTTATATTTTATCAAAACTACGCATTATGTGGCTGTTATCTGGAAATATTACAGAAAAAACGTTATAAAAATAATGTTTCTACAAAACTAATGAAAACGCTCGATTTTTGTAAACATCGTAGGAAGATGGAAATAAAAAGTCACACTTTTAAGACAAAGTGTGATTAAGTTCGTTTTTAATCAGGGTTATCGCACTTTCACTGTTCAAAGGGCGATAACCCTAATTTGACAGGAACCAACTGGATATTTTGGTTGTTTTCGGAACTAATGAATGCCCTGTTGGTAATAGTAAGTGGTGCATATGGTGTCTGATTTAAGCCAAAACAAAAAACAAACCAAAAAACACTATTCTTGTGGCTGAGGTAATATACACAATGATAACAAATACAAACACAGACGTAAATGGTATGTTTATAATACAAAGTTCGACTGATTGTATTAAGATAAACTTCATACATAATTTACAATAGATATGAAGCATGTGTTTTATACAAAAAGTCCTTACAGTTAGACGGATTAACAATATTTTATTTAATATTCATTTGATAAAGAAATATAGTTTACACTAATAATCACTTGTTTGACTATATTTCTAATAAATGCAAATATATCTACATAAGGAGAAGCAGTCAGCATTTTTCTCATGAAATACAGTACGACACAATGATAGCGGAAGTCAATCAACGGTTATCCCCACTTCTGTATTTTCCTGTCGGATACAAACTCGCCGTTAGGTGTCGTGGTGGTTGGAGGAAGGAGAGCCAAAAAAAGAGGCGTGTCTGCACCTAAAACATGCATAAAAGATTATTTTCCTAATTTGCATAACGTGATGACAGGTATAGTGTATCGACAAACCTTTAATATCTCAACTGTTAGTTCTGTTTGATATATACATGTACATGTATATGAACGAAAATCCATGTGTGGGTTTCTTTATATATAAACTTTATCTTTTTACAACAATTATGAAACAAACTGTTTAACTTGTATCAATCACTTTCCTTGACCTGGATGTGTGGGAGGTGGGGGTCATAGTATGGGAGGAAACCAAAGAACCCGAAGAAAACCCAAGTGGTCGGCAGATGCAGACCCTATACCGTTTCACGTCCGATCGGGGAATAGAACCCCGGCCGTCTTGATGAATGGCGAGTGCGTTATCCAATACGCCTTTCAATTAGAAATAAGTCTACGCATGTTGATACGTCTCCATTGTTTGCAAATATAATTCACTTAATAATGTTATAAAGCAGGCACTCAGAAGGAAATATACATTACCTTGCTCTGGTGTCTTTGGGCCCTGGTTTGACGTCAGATCCGTTTGGACATATCCAGGGCAACACTACAACAGGTCACACGATTGTCGGTTAGATTGTCTTATGTCTTATGTAAACCATACCTTTTATTAAATCATTATATCAACATTCTGTATACTTGGACCTATTGACGCGATTCATGGAATAAATCCAGAAAGCAAATGGTGTTATGACCTCATAAATGTTGAAAAAATAAATTTTCCTTTATTCATTCATGACATCATTATACTAGAAGTGCACATGCCCTGTGTTGCTTATTTGTCTTTATTTTATATGTAATCTGGAATTTAGTTGTAAATATTTCTTATAATTTGAGACCATCACAGCCATCACAAAAAAATATCCTTTTCTTTTGGGCCACTCCCCGACACCCGAAATGGATTGAGAAAAAATCCTAGTTTCCTTTTACAATACTAAATCGAAAAACGATGAAAAAAGACCGGAGTGTTTGTTGTAGTTTTTTCTGTTCCACTTTCGGCTTTGTTTTAAAAATACAACTACAGGTCAAGCATACCAATCCTACCGTTTTGATTGGCTGACATTAAAATCTCCAACGGAGATGTGCCTTTCTAAGATGGCGCGTCTGAAAATTTGCGCGGATCAATCATTCCTATCTATAGTTAACTTCCGATCGTTCCTATCTAGTCTGTCACGTTTCAGGAATATCACGGATTTGGTATGTGTTTTATAGTAATAACTATAAATAGAACGTAAGTCTTTGTATTGCACTTTTTTTCTAATATTCATATTTTTCTTGAATGCAAATCGACCTCACCCATATTTATCTTTTTGCAATGTTTGTATAATCGAATTGTATAAATATCAGCACGGATGCTAAAGGAAATTCCGTTCGTCCATATGTAGTCTACATTAATTATCTAGGTCAATGTCAAAGTTATTTTTAAAAAATACCCATCAGCCAATCTGAACAAGCAGTCTTTTAAAGAAAAGCTCAACTAAGCATGATGGATGCCGTGCATTCCCCCACTTGTCCATTGGGCCATGTCAAAGTAAGTTACTAAGTAACATAAGAACATAAAAATGTTATATAATCATTCAAACTAAATGGTCACTTACACTATTAATAACAATGTCTGATCGACTGTCCTGACTAAGTTCGCGGTGCTGGATGAAGGTTAAAACGGTCATTCCTATTTTGGAAACGCCGTACGCCATGTCAGACCATCCCTGTTTTACGTGATCGTTTGTTTGTGCTGCACTGAAACATTATAAACAAAAATTATTAAAGACAATAAATACGTATACAACAACAATCTAATTAAAATTATATCATCGCATCGCTCCCGTTTTCTGATATGTCGCGCTTCAACGCGACATATCAGAAAATGGGAGCGATGTGAAGATATAATTTTAATTAGATTGATAAAACAACAACTTACCAGCTACAAACGTCTGCCAAGCTTAATATTTTTCCCGAAAACGGAAAATAAAATAAAATAAATACATGTTGATATATATAAAACAGGCTTGATAACCTAGAGCGTTGAAAATAATAAAAATAAAATAAATAAACTATTTTGATATCTTTTTAAAAAGTACTTTTTCGGTAGTCCATTGTTCGTTCCTAAACTAAAACAACAACTACATCATTTTAAAAAGTCATCATTTTTGTTCGACTCATTCGAGTCAAATGTAGACTCTGCCGTTAAAATGACCGATATCAGAACCGAGAGGAAGAAACATCGCAACCTGTGAGAACAAGACTACTCTCAAAAAAAACTTGTAAAAATTAAGACCCAAGAACACCTTCATTGCACGTGAATCAAAATTAACCTAGATCACACTAAAAGTTACAGTAAGGTAATAACCATCCTTATGTATAACAACAAATTCTTTTTTTGCATATAAAGCAAAGGGGCACGTTTCGCAGAACGGAATAACGAGGCTCCTGTATTAACTAGTGTCTATGATGCATTATTTAACTTCTATATTACATGTTCAGTATATGCAAGCTATATACATAGCTTATTTTATGTGGCGACACATAGACCCACAATTAGACTTTTGACAAGTTTTGTAAAAGGTTGCTACGAAAATAGGCCCCTTTTGTGCCTCTTCTCCCTTCTTGGTGCCTCTCTGTTGTTTTAAACGTTTGATTGTCTAACAGCCTCTTTTGATATGCTCAATATGTAAGCTACAATCTGATTGGTTGAAGGCCTTTTTCGTCATCTTGAAGAAAATTTTCAACGGCGCCATTTTCTGGCAGCATCTTTTCAGAAATTTATATCAAATTTGCCTTATTGAAAAACCCACCCTTACATGCCACCCTTAAATATTGTTTGGTGTTTTATTTTACCGTGATTTGGCGTAATTCTGTCGAATCCCCACCGATGGACGAAATTGACAGTAAACATCATTTTTGTTGTTTGTGTCATGATGTCATTGATAATAAATTGTCATCTTATGATGGCCTTGTTCAATTATTTTTTTCCGTTTAGTTTTATGTGGAGTAGGTAAACATGTATGTATGGTCACTTACTCGATGAATTCTTGTACCAGGGCTTTAAGTTGTGGTAACGTGATGGCGGCGTCCGTAAACCTGGCCTGTATGTCCGAGCTACATTTTGAGATTGACCACTGGGAAGCCATGCTGGACATGTTCACAACCCTAGTAAGAGAAAAAAAATATACTAGATATCCGAAATCAGTGAGCATTAACCACTGAACATTCACGCTGGACATTTTAACAGGAACGTTCAGGTACAATGTTCGAGTGACCCGAGTCTGTGTTGACCAACATAAAGTGTATATTTCATTAATCATGAAAATTGAATTTTAATTTAAATAATATCGTCATTGTATAGAAAATGTATCGTTAAACTGAAAACATCTTACAATGATATTTAATTTTAAAAATATATGACACAACATTTCCCTACATTCCTATTGGTTGGATCATAAACACGTGGTAATTGGTGATTTTTAATACTGAATCTCTTTTTTCAGTCTAATTTCACAATTCAATTGTGACGTCACAATATGTTCTCTGTCATATGCAACGTACTTTTTTTTCCATACAATTTTCATACCTACCATGTTGTTTGATGATTAACACATTATTAAGCACCTAATGTAACAATTTAGACCTTTTTGTCGGTGAATGTGTGGCTATATGGAACTGAGAGATTGATATTGACCGAGACGAATGAATATTGCACATTCAACTTTTAATATTTTCATATAGAGTATAAGTATAGAAAGAGGATGCACGATACAACATGATTACACTGTAGATATGGGGGTTTCGGTTTGTGCAGTACAGAAAAAGACTATAAAATGATAACATACTAGATATAGAGACAGTGAAGTCGTAAACAAAGAAGAAATGATAAATAGAATCTTCCCCTACCGAGAGGTGATATTTTTTGCTTGTTTAACCAGAGGTTCACCCTGAGGCTGTGACAAGGAAATCTCTAACCGGGGTTCTGCCGAGGGTTAGACACCCAAAAAACATCACCCCGATGGTTGGAGACTTCTCTGTTACACTTTCAAGGCAAGGGATGATTATTTTTCTCCCGTCCTATTATTTTAGGCACAACTCCACCGACAGTAGTCTGCCATGTAAAATGCATGCGGATTATGAATATCGTCAGTAACTTTTGATGACGTCACAATAATCGATGACGCATTTAATGACGTCACAATTGAACACGTGCTTATCGGCACGAGGCTATCATCCCTAGTGGGTGAAAAGCTGATCTGTCCCGGCAATAACGGGAGACACACCTGTGAAGGGAGGGAGAAAACATGTCCGGTTACAAACAAGGTGACAAGGCATTATGTCAATGTACTACTAAATAAGTTCACCTTGACTGATATTGACGTCATGACATTACAGTACACCATGTGGGCCAGCATTGTGCAGTGTTAACAATCAGCAGTAAAAGATACGGACACGTCGACCCATACCTTGAGTGAGGGCGTAGGAGGGGGGAGAGGGCGTCAAACACGTCGATACATACCTTGAGTGAGGGCGTAGGAGAGGGAAGAGGGCGTCACACACGTCGATACATACCTTGCTTGAAGGCGTAATAGAGGTAGGAGGGAGAAGAGGGCGTCACACACGTCGACCCATACCTTGAGTGAGGGCGTAGGAGGGGGGAGAGGGCGTCAAACACGTCGATACATACCTTGAGTGAGGGCGTAGGAGGGGGAAGAGGGCGTCACACACGTCGATACATACCTTGCTTGAAGGCGTAATAGAGGTAGGAGGGAGAAGAGGGCGTCACACACGTCGACCCATACCTTGCATGAGGGGGTAGGATGGGTAGGAGGGAGAAGAGTGCGTCACATACGTCGACCCATACCTTGAGTTATGGCGTAGGAGGGGAAGGAGGGCGTTACACACGTCGGCCCATACCTTGCGTGAGGGCGTAGGAGAAGGAAAAGGGCGTCACACACGTCGACCCATACCTTGCGTGAGGGCGTAAGAGGGAGAAGAGGGCGTAACACACGTCGACCCATACCTTGCGTAAAGGGTGTAGGAGAGGGAAGAGGGCGTCACACACGTCGACCCATACCTTGCGTGAGGGCGTAGGAGGGGGGAAAGGGCATCACACGCGTGGACCCATACCTTGCGTGAGGAATTAGGAGGGGGAGAGGGCGTCACACACGTCGACCCATACCTTGCGTGAGGGCTTAGGAGGGGGAAGAGGGCGTTACACACGTCGACCCATACCTTGCGTGAGGGCGTAGGATGGGGAAGAGGGCGTAACACACGTCGACCCATACCTTGCGTGAGGGCGTAGGAGGGGGAAGAGGGCGTCGCTCACGTCCACCTGGGAGAAGAAATTCACCCCACATGTCTTTCGAGCCTGCTCGGCGAATGACGTATCCGTATTTTTCTGTCAACAAATACAATAACATGTATTTAAACAAGACCGATGTTTGGAATGACGTAAATGATGAGACCAATGAATTTCTTGTCGACTGTACCAAATAAATGTCCTAAAAGTATAAGTTTTCATAATACCCAAAAGCAAGATTACTCTACCAGATTTCAAATTTAAGAGTACATGTTACGTTGTTTAAGAGTGTAAACCATACAACGCTTACCTTAAATGCAATCCCGGCGTTGTTGACGAGAACGTCGAGCCCGCCATACTGTTCTTGCAGGTGATCTCTGAGTCTGTTAATGCTGACAGAGTCAGTTATGTCCAGCTGGTGAAACTTGGGGTTAAGTCCTTCGGCCTTCAGGCTCTGGACAGCAGCCTGACCAAGGTCCTCATTTCGTGCTGAAAAGGAAACATTTTATATATAATAAGATATATTATAGACATTTTAGGAAATGTCTTTTAGAAAGATAAAATGCATGTCCTATAATTTAAAATTATCACTGTTATACCTGAATTTCTCGCACAGTCAAACCATTATGCTGCCAGTGTAACTATACATATCAGCGGCGGTGCACATGTGCAGATTTTTACAGGTTGTCTTGCTAACCATTAAGGATTGTGGATGGGCAATAAGCAATAAACTGATCGTTGATTTATTATTTTCCAATTACTAAAGTATGTCTCCCCTTTAACTGAAGTACACTTTACAAAGAAGTCATTAAAATACATTAAAATAAGTCATAATAATACAGTTTTAAGGAGAGAGGCGGCATAACAGTGTAATATATATTGTACATTTTAAAGCCAGATCGTTGTGAAAATAGCAAAAAGTATATAGCATATGAACCGGTGTTCATTATGCGATGGGCCTCAAAATACAATGTACCTTGCTACATCGCTACATACTTTGATGGGACTCCCAGACATCGCTATTACCTTCCATAATGTACATACATGAATCTTATAAATAAATCAAACTAATTTTCTGTTCAACAGTGTCTGGTCTATTTATGTCACTAAATGTTATGAACCATTATATTATTCAAAACCTGTGAACAAGCATACCTACGGAAACGTTGGCTACACCTGTACTGGGGAAAGCTGTCCAAATAAGTGACAACAGTGTCCAAGTTTGTCTTAGATAACTGTATAGTTACAGTTATAAAAAATAGCAGAGCCGGACGGGTTGTTGAGTGCAAATAAAATGTGCAACAAGAGGCCTAAGGGAGGGAACCGCTATATCTGTTATGAAGGAAGGCCAGGGGCCTATTCGTTTGTGTCTGTTTTATTACGTAACATTTTCGGGTATTAATTATGGGGGACCTGCAAACGTTTATGCAGGCCTGGCAAGGCTTGTCAAGGCATGCCTGAAAGCAGCATCATTTTACTATGTTCTACCTTATTTCATAAACGAACAACTGGTCCAATCGTTTGGAACGCGATACACGAAAGCGGCCCAGAGCAGCTCTCTTAAAATACTCTTTTTAGGTGGAATTACAAGTGGTATGTACATGTGCATGTGCGTCGAGCTGATAATGTATCCCTGTACGGCTTCCAAACACTTAAGATGTCCATTGGAAACTTTTCCCCAACAAGACTATAGCTTTGATAAATCATTTCAGAAAAAGAAACAATAATTTGCGTTATTTACATTCAAAAAAAAAAAGGAGGAAAAAATCAACGACAGTATTCGTAACTTAAAAACGCAGCAAGGTCAGACCAGGATTCGAACCCGGGACCTCCGATCATTACGTTGTTACTCTACCCAAATGAGCTACATTTATATACCTGATAAACGATAGTACACTGGTACCGTCGCGGTAAAATTATATCTTAAACGAAAATAAGGGTGGTTACTGCATGTAAGAACAACTTCATTGGAATTCTCTGGTGTTTTCCGGCCTTAAATGACCATAGCTGTTGATAGGACGTGAAGCAATACTAAACCTAACCAAACCAAACTCTGGTGTTTTGCCTGTAGTAGGATTTGTATATGTGCCTGTGATGATTACATGTACATGTTACAGGTCTAGGATTTTCTTTAAAAATCATATATTTTCACCATTTTCCTCAATTTTACCCCACTTAAATCACTAACACAGGATCCTGCCTTATTAACATTTTGATCTTACCTGTTAGATATACGTCTCCATTATATCTTTGACACAGGCACCTGACTATATCTACGTCATAATCTAACCTGTTAGATAGACGTCTCCATTACATCTCTGACACAGGCTCCTGACTATATCTACATCATAATCTTACCGGTCAGATAGACGTCTCCATTAAATCTCTGACACAGGCTCCTGACTATATCTACATCATAATCTTACCTGTCAGATAGACGTCTCCATTAAATCTGTGACACAGGCTCCTGACTATATCTACGGCATAGTCTTACCTGTTAGGTAGAGGTCTCCATTAAATCTCTGACACAGGCTCCTGACTATATCTACGTCATAATCTTACCTGTTAGATAGACGTCTCTACTATATCTCTGACACAGGCTCCTGATTATATCTACGTTATAATCTTACCTGTTAGATAGACGTCTCTACTATATCTCTGACACAGGCTCCTGATTATATCTACGTCATAATCTTACCTGTTAGATAGACGTCGCCATTAAATCTCTGACATAGGCCCTTGACTATTTGTAGCCCGATTCCTTTGTTAGACCCGGTCACCTACATAAACAAACATTGGTGATTGGTTTAAACAGATACAGTAATAGATAAAGAGCGGGCTTAACATTTTAAATGAGAATGACATTTAAAGTCAGATAAGATATGGGATAAGTATACGATGTAATGAACATCACCAGACGTAATACAGAGAACAGAGCTATACATTACAACACTTAGTTTATAATTAGTTCTGTTCACAGGGACCTGAACATTTGTTACAGCTATATTTTGACATAAAATTAAGAGTAGTTTTACATGTTTTAGGGGTTAATATCGACTTTCGGTAAAAATCACACCCCCAATGATTATATATACGAGTTGGGGTGTCATTATTACTGAAAGTCGATGTAAACCCCTAAAACATGTCAAATTACTCCGAACACCTTAGTTTAGGTCCAAATATAGCTGTAACAAATTGTCACGTCCCTGTGGTTCTGTTTTGTATACAAAAATATTTATCTTACCACTGCAACTGCTTTCGGCGATGCCATTTTTGTCGCAAAAATTACTACTTGCCAACTTGTTACTTTCCTCGTCAATAGTGAATAAAGTGTACGACAGTGTGTTATATCTGACCAGGACAGACACTCCCGCATAGCGTATTCAAGGAATTACAGTTCGAGAGCGTGCATGTTTGTGAGCATATATACAGGATGTAACATCACAGCTAATACATGTAAACACATCTAGGCCTATACCGCCGTTACCTGTGTCAGACACGTGACCAGAAATGTAAACAGTTGTGTGAACAGTTAAGTCATTCATCCTGGAGTATCATCTGCTATACGGCAGTGACGTTTTATTTCTCATGTGTCATGTTGTGAAAAGAACAGTACGAAAATCGATAACACGTATGTAATTGCAAGTATTTATCAAACTGTATATGCATGAAAGGCTAGCTACATCCGGCTGTTGTGCAGAGTCTGGTAGTAAACAGATAAGGGGCTTGACAGACACTTTTACACCGGCGCACGTACAGGGTCAAGTTGTGTAAAGTGTTATAAGCTCTTTTATCAGCATTCCTTGCGTTTCTGTGTAAACAACCAGAGTGTTATAGTTTTTTTAAACATTTAAATGAAAAAAAACATGTTTTCATTTAAATGTTAGTGTATGCATTATCGATTCAAATATTACCTTATGTACATGTACATAATTACTTTGAACTGATCCTGTATTACATTTTTCTTTTCAAACTTAAAGTTTTAAAGCCTTCTGTATGGTGACATACATTCCTATCACCGCTTAGTTCTTCTATTATCACGGACTGTGGTTGTTGTTCAGGGGTCACTGAAAGTGCTTTGGCCGAAAACTAGTGTCACATTTTATTTAGAATCCACGTCATGAAGTACATGTAATGATCACAAGTGTCGCAATGGGGACAGCAGATGGCGGGTGAGAAAACCGGAGAACGTGTCATTCTAGTCTGTACTTGGATGTTTCTCAGCAACATGCTTTCAAAACGGTTTGAACGAGGTGCAGATGACGAATATATAGCCATTTTAAAGACATTTTATAAATGTAACAAGGACCTAGAACGAAAAACAACTTAAAGGAAATACAGAGGCGAGACAGATAATAAAGAAAGTCAAAACAGCACTGAAGAAAAATGACGGAATCAATGCCGCAGATAAGGTATCAAAAGGTATACAGATTGTTCATCAAAAATAATACAAGAACATAACACAATTGTGGATCTTTCGGAGTATTGATGCAGAACTTTGACGAAACATAAACAAACGATTTTTGCCGATGTCTTCCACGACGATAAAAAAAAAAGGAATGTTCAAGGCGCGGAAAAAAAGAACACAGGAAAATTTGACAGGCGATTTAGTTATACAGCGTAGTATGAAAGCGCAGCCCCCTCGACATCCTCGATACCAGGGGTTACGCTCACTTTCGCTTTTCACACCCCTGGAATATGTCATAGCAAAACTGAAGGCACGAATATGTCTGTTTGATTGGTCTCGGGTAAAAAGAACTGACCAATCGCTAGGCTGATGCATGTCCTTTGAAGATTACAAAGGAGAGACGCCCGACTTTAAAGCCTGTCAAGTTTTACCGGTACCTGACAGCGAGATTCTTTTGATGTTTATCTAGGGATCGAACCAATCTTCTTGTCTCATCAACAAGGTAGCGCACACTTTCAACTTTGCTATGACATATTCCAGGGGTGCAGAGAGCGAAAGTGAGCATAACCTTGGATATCGAGAATGCATCACGTGATGCAAATTAGGAAAATAATCTTTTATGCATGTTTTAGGTGCAGACACGCCTCTTTATTTGGCTCTCCTTCCTCCTACTACCACGACACCTAACGGCGAGTTTGTATCCGACCGGAAAATACAGAAGGGGGAATAACAGTTGATTGACTTCCGATATATAGAAAACTCATGTCATTAACTTCTATTGTTTCGTACAGTATATAATGAGAAAAATGCCGACTGCTTCTCCTAATATAGATATCCTTGCATTTATTAGAAATATAGTCAAAAAAGTTATTACATTGTGTAATAGTGTAAACTATATTTCTTCACCAAATGAATAGTAAATATAATATTGTTAATCAGTCTAACTGTAAAAAAATTCAAGTTCAGTTAATGAGTTGGCTGGAAAAATCTTGTCGCGCATTTAAGACGTCTCACCATGGTCTTAGATCTAATATGATTCCGTAGTCTCACACAAAGTTTAAGGACTTTTAGTATAGAACACATGTTTCATTACTATTGTAAAATATATATGAAGTGTAACTTAATAAATCTGTCAAACTTTTTATCATTAACATTTTTTTTACGTCTGTGTATGTATTTGTTATCATTGTGTAAATTACCTCAAATACAAGAATATAGTTTTTATGCTTTAATCGGACACCATGAGTACCACTTATCCATTTGGTTACTTTCGAAATTAAATCAGAGTTATCGCCCTTTGAACACGAAAACATACGATGTCCACTCGGCTTGAAAACGAACTTAATCATATTTTGTCTTAAAAGTGTGGCTTTTTATTTCCATGATTACAACAATCCAACGTCTTCATGGCAGATATAGGTAACTTGTATCATTCATTTCTACATCCTCGATATCCAGGGGTTACGCTCACTTTTGCTCTCTACACTAGGCACGAAGAGAGCTGTTTGATTGGTCTCGGGCAAAAATACAACCTGACCAATCCCTAGTCTGATGCAAGTCCTTTGAAGATTACAAAGGAGAGACGCCCGACTTCAAAGCCTGTCAAATTTTACCGTTACGTGACCGCGAGATTATTTTGACGTATATATCAAAGGATCATACAAACTAGTCTTTTTGTCTCATCAACAAGGTGGCGCACACCGAGCCTTCAATATTGCTATGACATATGCCACGGGTGAAGAGAGCGAAAGTGAGCGTAACCCCTGGATATCGAGGATGTCATTTCTTCAGTTGAATGGTAAAATTACTGTGTCAATTTCAGTGCGATTTAAAAACAAATCAGAAATACTTGAATGGATACATGCGTTTTACAGATGTAATTTCTAAAGCACAAAACAAATCATCTAGAGGTTAAGATTGGTAAACGTTCGGTGGGTAATGTTTATAAACATTTAGAATACAAACATGAATCCAGCTCCGGACAAAGGAAAAATCTTTATAATATTATAATAAACGTGTATTTCCCGTTTGATTAACACTTGAACTTCAAAACGTTGACACAATTAAGGTATGCTTAAGTTTACAAAAATGGAACACAATATTAAAAGATTGATTCCATGCCTGTACCTTCCCCTTGGTGTCTGGACCAACTCTAGAAATACTATTGCGCGAGGCTGACAACTCTCGTTTTGTTATAATGTACATGTATATCAGTTGTTAATTTTTCAGTTTAATTGTAATTTTATACCGTTGGGTATATGAAACTGAGAGAAAAACAGGATAGAGGTTTTAAAAACTAACGAGATGAATCGAAAAGTGTCACATTAGAGTGTTATATGGCAGAGACGGGAGAACGGTCTGTTATAATGAAGCTGTGATATGCTGTCTAGTTCCGTCCTGTGTCTCAGTCCCGTGTTGTCAGCAATGACGTGTGAAGATTCTTTAAATGGAAATGGAGACATATATCGTGTACACATCATTTCATTTATCTGAGAAAATCATTCGCCAGTACAGATAGTTCAGACATATACGTGCCTAGTGTAACAGATGCTGGAACACCGTGTGATACATATAGAAGACTTTGGTAATACAACATCACCGTCTAATTCGAACCATTTGTGTCTGTGTGGGAGGACACATAATTCATGTTTGGAAATGTACAAGGTACGTGCATTGATACCAATCGACAAGTATTCTGGAAACTAAACGTAGAAAATGCAGTCTAAGAGACACCTATATGTACAAGTAGTTAACACGATCGAGGAAAAACGAAAACAAATCATGCGCGCGTCCCTGGAACTCCCGTTCTGATGATGGCGGTCCACAAGTAGGTATACTCTGACATACTGTTGACGCCTCAACCCTATAAAGTTCCCAGACATAGAAAGGAAAGACCCGGATATAGAAAGGAAAGACACTGTTGAGCTCCAGCTTTACGTTAAATGTCAAACCTGTAAGGAATGTCACAGTTATAACATCGATGAAGTTAGATTAGTTTTCTATTCTGGAAGTGAAATAACGTGTAAATATAGTACATGTAAATGGACGCATTACTATTCATAAAGGCGTTAAAACGCAACACGTCACTGTTTCTGTTAGTCTTGAGCAAAGCCTTTGGCTTGTGGGAGTATTTTACGGTTTTGGTATTATACATAATGTCAATGATCGGAGTAACTGGTAAAAGAAGCAGAACACAACAAATTGTTTGACATCAGTTCAGACTAATACCATTTCAATCAAATAGTGTTTTTCTCTGAGGATGTCTCATACAATAAATTGTAGAATGTATACATTGTACCAAACCCATTTGAATTTAATGCTCATTGCTCTTTCTCAATTTCAAAGATTTGGAGACAGCCTTTGCTCAGTTTAAAACTCAAACTGAACCAAGCTAGTATCCATAATATTAAAAAAAAAAAAAAATGAATTCATAATCGATAAAATGAGATCACGATGTACATCATGTAAACAAAGGAAACATTTACATAAACACCCTTGAAAAGGTACGAATAATGAGAATAAGACCAGGTGTTCCAGAAGGGTAAGCTTCCTTTGCTTTATCGACCACACCCGCCATGTAAATATAGGTCAAATCTAAGTAATGTCACGTCCTCATATCGAGAACCAGGGTAGAGACAAAAAAAAAACAAGTTATAAAGCATATTAAAAACATCGACCTTCATTGTTCATTGTTCTTATGTAAATAACAAAGCAGCTTGGTTAGACAGCCTTTGATTGGCATCCGCCTCCAGCCTAATGACAATATAAATAGTTTTCTTATTTCTGGAAGTTTGTCAAAAGCTGCCATTAGAAATTGTCAACAGTGTATCCACGACTACAAGAAGGACGTAAATAATGTATCAAAAGATAGCCAACAATATTGTATATGTAATATAATATGGTGGGTTTAGACAAATAAGTTATAAACATTTTAGCATAGTGAGAATTCATATTTAATTTTATTGAAGCTCTTCAGCGTGTAAAGGGGCTAATATGCATTACAACATGTATATCTGTTTAATTATGAT